ATTCGGTCCAAAATGGCCGACTCACGGCCATTTCATCTTTTTTTTTCATTTTTGTGCTGATTCCTCTGAAAGATATCGCCTGAATTCACTTGAAAGTTTTTACATAGGTACTATACTTCAAGACAATACAACACCATGTTTTGTTTAGTGATTTGATCGAATTTGTCGAAATGGCGGCCATTTTTTTTAATATCTTAAATTCACAGTCTGTAACATGTCTGGAACTGTTTCCCGAAGCTGAATAGGGCGATTTCAATCAAACTTTATTTGATGATCATGTATATTGGGTTACACGTGCACGTCATATTTTTTTTCAAAATTTTGACCAAAATGGCTAACTGTTTTGTCTTGAGATTTGATCAAATTTGTCCAAATGGAGGCCACTTTGTCAAAAAACGTAAAATAGCAGTAAAATATCAAGTCTTTTCTACCTCAGTTGAAGATAATGAAAAAAAAAATGTTGGATATGATGAACTCCTAAAAAAAAAAATTTGCAAGCAAACCTACTAATAAAAAAAAAATTTCCAAACACATAAAAAAAAAAAAAAAAATTGCCTTTCACTGAGCTGACCCCCCTCAAAAATCAAATGGTCAAACCCTAAATTTGAGTAAGACACTATGTAGAATTTTAGAGTTAAAACTGAGTCCACATGTATACATTGTTGACTTGTTTAGACATGAATGAGTTGTTTTATCACGTCACGCAGTAATCTGTTCACACATATGTGTATTCAGCAACAAACATACCATATCTGCTCTATTAGAAACGCATCTATAATAGAAGCCTATATTAGTACATTGTACAAACCAAAAAATCATATTTGTTTTATACTGATTGAATCATTAATATAATTACGTTTTTGACCATAGAAACACCCCTGGATTTACATAAGCACTGATAGAATAAATAATACTAATAGAGTATATATGGTAAGTGGTATATTCTATTTCTTATATTATATTTTGTTTTTTTATTAAATTTTTAACTTAAAATAATTTGAAGGTGACGATTAATTATCAAGTTCAATAGCCAGTTGGTTTATATGTTGGATGAGCAATGTAAACATAATATATCTACAATACATGCACTTTTAACAACAACTATCAGTTAATTTGGACAATATGTGAACAAATTTATTAGAACACAAAAATTCAGAACAGCTCAAATTTCTGTAAATCAGTAAAACTGGAGACAGCGTGGAGGACACATAGACTAAAGAACAGATAACAGTACTATCCTGGTAGTATCTTGTATTTGACAAAATACTATCATGACTCACAAATCGAATATTCTCTTTTCACGCAAGAAATAATTATAAATTTTTTTTTATAATGGTTCGATTAATGGTTCATTATTGGTATTTTGAAATTTAAATTTAACAACAGCAAAAGAAGATCTCCACCAACAAATAAGTTTGTTCTTATATTCATTATTAAAGGGGCACCTTCCAGTTAAGCCTAATCTCACAACAAATTTACTTTCTGGATTCAAATAACAATGGATAACAAAAGATAGATTAACATTGTAAACAACATAAACAATAGTGTCCCATGATTCTTTGGTGCAATGCATGGGATTGAGCGGTTCCCCCATAAGCACATGCATTTGCTCTGTTAGTAGAGTAGTGAACGTAAATGAGAGTAGAGATATGTCTATGTTCAGACAGACTACTGTGGTCAAAATAAACTTGTATTTTAATGATTCATTACACAATAAATGCAATTTTTGATTCATGCATAATTTTATTTGAGATGTGTTCTAATAGTGCCATCTGATATGTACTAGAACATATGAAACGCAAGTTTTGATTACAGATTCTGTCACTTGTTTCTTTGGTGATGCATTGAAGTAATTTTGAGTGATAAATTTTCAGTATTTTTGTTGAAGGTATGGTTCCCTGAAAACAAAATATAGCGAATGCACTATTTCTCCCTGTATTTTACATTCAACTTGTAAAAAAGCAGTGAAAATAAATTCCATACAAAACACCCAAAACATTGCTTGATTTTTGCTTCAGCAAAAAGTTAATTCCAGCTAAAATAAAGTATTTTACAGTATATAGAAGGGAAGAGAGGTGGCAGTAAAATGGTACAATAATTGTTTTACTTCACCAGGTTTTGAGTTAGATTTTTTTTCGCATGAGAATTTTCTGTGTTGGTGCTTGTCATTTTCCATGCAGTTTTTTTTTTCTTCTTCACTGCAAATTTTTTCTCTCTCTCTATATCTACACCCCTGAGTTTCTGATGACATACTCCTGATGTCCAATTGGGAAATGTTTATATGTGACTGTGACTGTTCTATTCGTAGTTATTATTGATGATCAGATTAAAAAGCACGTCTAAATGACCGGAATCTATTCTAAATAAATGCACATTAAAGGCTGTTTAGAATATGAGATAGTTGCAGGAGGCCTACTTAAAGGTCGTGCGGTCATCGGTTGTGGCCGGCCATATTTCGTTTATGAACAACTCGCGTAAAAATAACAGACCTGGTAGGCAAATGCGGGCGTCACGTACAACACTTTTCAAAAAAAAAAATTAAAAACGTTCGAAAAATGATTGCAAAAACAATCCGTCAGAAGGTCACGTAAATGCCGATGCTACATTTCTGCCGCAAAACAATTGCCATTTGTTTGCATAACAAAAGACCAGCACTAAGTTTCGATTACATGTCGGCTAATCTAAACACAAGTTTGTAGGACACAAACGCAGAAATGTCGCGGCCCAAATGACAGGATCGGCAGCCGAATTCGGTTAAAAAACATAACAAGGACTTCGACTGAATATTCAAAAGTGTATGGTGTACTCGAATTAAGAAAGATATTCACTTACTTTTACAAAAGGCGACTCTTCGTCCAAAGTTGCCAACGATATTTTTGTATGCATCTCTGTCTCCATATTTGCGAGGGGTCAAGGGTCACAGGTAAGCCACACGAACTCGGTTTATGTACCACGTCATAACCATGATTTTTTTAGGACTACATTTTTGAGAAGTAAACCGAAAAAGAAACATGAGCATGTATTATGTTATGTTAATTATAGCACAATAAAACTTGCACTACACCACTGTAATAATATATCAGAAAATAAAAGAACTTCATCATTGCTCCAGTGTTGTTTTGGTTCTTTGCTTTTACATTTTGTTATTGCAATTATTGAAACCATACTGCTGAACTATTTTTGTACTCCGTGTCGTGTTGTTGAATGTCAAATGTCAATGCTAAAAATATATTACATTGGGTAACATAATCGAAATATGTGTGGCTTTAGCGCGAGTTAGTTTGATCCGACCACTTGGTGGCGCACTTATATTCAAAATGGCGAAAAATCGCCTGACATGTCGTCGAACATCCGCACTGTGACTTTTGTCCCATATCTCTTGGAATTTAACGTAATGTTCAAAATACTTTTCTATAATACTCATTATGAAGTTCACCGAACACCTTTCCGCGCACATAACCCCGGAATGGCGAAAGCAATACATAGAATACGAAGTAAGTAATTGGCGAAATAGCAACTATAAAGACAATGCGCTTACGTAGTTGCGAGTACGACGCAGCGGTAGGAGCTCGTATTAAAACGTAAACAAACCATTTACTAGTATGTTTCCGCGTTTTATTTTGTAGGTGATGAAAAATATGTTGTACGATGCGATAGAAAATGCACCATCTGTCGAAGGTAAATAAGTCTTTCTATTTGTTTTTGCAAATGAATCGCCGTCTTCTGATCACCATTCAAGCACAGTGATTTGATTCATTGCATAATAATGCACTTATTGAACGTATCACAACTTAATTTAGACGATTTAAAAAATTGAAGCTTCTGTGTACAAATTCAACATTTAAATGAAAAAAATGTATTCATGTTACCAGTAAAAAAATAGGCTCAATAGCTATAAATCAATAACTATAGTTTGTTTAAAAAGAATTCTTATTCAAAGATCTATCTAGAGGATATACAAAACAGGAATTCATAGTATTCATAAAGGGTATGTAAAAACTGTTCATACATTGTTGGAGATAAATTTCATTATATTTTCAAATTTGGGTATGCACCAAACTTGAAAAATTCTGTCAATTATAACCAATTTCGCTAGAGACGAATTTTCACTGAGAGTCAGTGAAAATCACAACCCAGAGTGTCAGTGACTTTCGCAAAATTTTGTCTTCTTGACTGCCATAAAATATGTGAATCATGAAAATATCCAGCAGTGAAACCTAAGCTGCTAACAGTAGTTGAATTGTTCACTAGCAAAGATTTATTTATGGCTTAGCCAAATTAGTTATTATTGTATTTATTTTAGTGTATTTTAGATTTTGTTTAAAGTGGGGGAATCGTCACCTGCGCATGCGTCAGATGGCCATAGCGTGTCATTGTTTACAATTGTTTACATTGTTTTGTGATAAGTTACCAAATATTTTATTCTTTTAAATGTCATAATTGTGGATTTATTTATTTCGATGTTAATATCTTTAACCTCCCTGAAAAATTATAAGTTTATTTTAAGGGGCAAATCTACAATATTATGGTCTGGCATTAATGTAGAAGCTAATGTCCCTTGGTACAATGAAATAGCATCAGTTTGTGTGTTACAAGGGTAGAACAAAGCAAAAACCAAGTGTTGCTAACTAACTGACTGTTCGAATAATTTTCAGAACCACTATAATTATAAACTTAACTATTCAAACTGTAGTAAAAGTGATGACAGTGTATTTCACAATTTGTTGTGTATCATTGAACATGGAGGTAATTTGTTCTATAAAATTTATGCCTAACAGAAGTGCACATAAACCAAAAATTGCAATTATTGTACATTGTATTTTGGATCATTAAAATATGACTTATCGATTGGCAAGAAAAACAGACCAGGGGGATTACAAGTTTGTTGATTGCATCTAGAATATGAACGATTACATGTACAATAGACAAGTTTCATTTTTTCAAACAATAGAACTTCTTTCTCCATTGCAGTTAGTGGTGAGAGTGCAGTCCAAAGACACTTTGCACGGTTTGAAGAAAATTTTTTTAAGTATTCAGATAAAGAACTTGCCAAAATTAATACTTTTTTCTCAGGTAAGCTCTCATTATGCAGTTATTTTCATATTACCAGTAATTTTTGTGAAAATACTAATCCATAGATGATACAACTATGGTGGCTATGGGTTTCAATTAATTTATTAAAAACATTTGATTTTGAGTTATTTGTCAGAATTATTTTAAAACATTTTTTATTTATCAATTTATGAAATTATTTCTCATTTTCGTGAATTGTATACTTTTTTTCTTCCAGAGAAACTTGCTGAGGTCACTCGTAAGTTTGCAAATCTTCAGGATGAGCTGCGGCAGTCGAGTTCTCAAGAATCAAAAGACAATCTATCTTCTCTAAGGATGAGAAAAAGTGTCATGTTTGCATTAGCAGACAAAAATGATCAAAAAACAAAGCTTGTTAAATCCCATACAAGAAAAATTAATGATTTAAAGTTGGCATTTAGTGAATTTTATCTAAGTCTTATATTGATTCAGAATTACCAGGTGAGATACTTTGATTATGGTGTTACCGTGTGACATCTATAGTACTAGTACTCAACTTTTGTAAGACTTGTAAATCCTAATTAATGAATATATTTATTTATAACATACTGTAAATTAGCTAATTTAACTGGTTTTTAATTACGCTGATTTACCATTTCAGGCATATTCAGTGGGTTTTAAATTCATGATTTAATCATTTAGATAATGTGTTCTATGCTAAATTTTACATATTCACTGGGTTTTAATTCAGCACATTTTCCAGTCAGCGAAATAAGCAAAATTAAAACCCAGTGATTAATTAATCTTTTTACAGTACTTGCTTTATTAAAATCACATGCTCTTATATAAATAACAGAGAGGAGGCTATGATCAGAATAAGACCTTTTTTAATGATCTACCACAGAATACATGTAATTTTTGGTTTATTGGAAATGTGCTTATACAGACCATACAGCCGTATAAACTAATATGTATTCTTTTTGTCTCTTAGAATCTAAATTTTACGGGATTTCGAAAAATCTTGAAAAAGCATGATAAACTTCTGGAAACTGATAGAGGAGTGAACTTTCGGGTAAACCTGGTAGAGGCTGCTCCATTCTTCACCAGTAAACAAATAGACAAACTTATTCTTGAAACTGAGGTAAGAAAACAAACATTAAAACATTGATTTGTACATATGATAAAAGCACTGATTCTTATTCACTGAGCTTTAAATTTATGGATTTGACACTGAATTATTGTGGTCTGCAGTAATGTGGGTGAGCAAAGTTCACTCATCAGCAAAAAATATCAGGATTAAAATGTTGTGAATGATATGAGGTTATTATGAAG